TACCAGCTAACAAGAATGAAACAAAGAACAAAAGCCCTGCCTCAAAGAGCTCACAATGCCATGGCATAAAAACACACAAGGGTGTGAGCAAAAGAGGATGTGTAGGCTTCACAAAGCAGGTAGGCGTTCAGCATTTTGTTGAATGAGAAGGAGCTGGGGTTGCCGACACTAAATTGGAGCTGTTCCACATTTGAGGGGTATCAAGAAAACACTGCGACCATAAATTACAGAGCATTCTGCTGCAAAAATGCTTTACAACCTTTATGTTAAGTCCTGACTGGACCCTAGTGCCCACATGGAGTTCACTACAGGATTACACCATAGTAGGTGACTCATTCCAGTTGCATCTACCACCTGTCATTCTAACATCATACTGCGTTTTTCTGTACTTTTCCATGCTGGGTTCTTTAGGACAGGAAATCTATTATTTGTTTTGACTCATCTCTCCTACTGGGCACCACCGAAGTGCACTTATTGTGCCATATAAGTGATGATGCAATCACATTCAATCAAACACACATGGTGTTGATATGTAAAATGGGATTAAGTCGTAGCCTCAAAAGACCTGCTAAATGTCTACAAAACCAGAGGTTTTCAAACTGTGGCGTTTGAGGAGGAACATTCAGGAGGGAGCAAGAAGTGATTCCAGGTGGCTTCAGCATCAGTCCCCCATGGCAGGACTTGTCAAGGGAGTGCCATCTCCACCCTAACTCACCTCTTTTTTGTCTAGATAGGGGGGATGCAACCAAAAATTGTAAAATCAAAAGGAAAAAGGGCTCGGCTTGAAAATCACTGTTCCGGAAACATTTCTGATTCTGTAAAATGTTTTCCTGTACGTCTCTTCATCCAGTTTCACTAAGGCTCTTTATTTCTGCCACCTTCTTCCCACCAGAAATCACAACCTTGCGTTAGCACGGGACACCTGGATGCAAGGGAAATAAGTGGAGAACTAGGAAACTGGAGGGTCACCTGAGGTATCACTTACAGAACACAATAAATTCCACAGGAACCAGGATCCTATTTTGTTTCCAAATGTTTTTCATCATTGTTTTCGCATGGAAAAAAAGCAGTAAATGTATTATAAGCACCTTTGTAGGTGGTATTTCAGGATAAAACTGAATTATACACACATGAACAGCCACTTTATTTGGCTATCCTAGCTCTTCAAAACTGAAGCGGGCAGCATGAACCCATTCATTTCAAAGGAACGAGAACATTGCAACTCTCCTTGTTTACTGAACCCAAGAACAGTTTGTTTTCCCTGTGATGCCCATTCTGGACCCTCCCTGTATGAAAATAGACAGGAGTTTCCCAACACATATTCACCACTGTAGGTTATTTGTACGGTCTCTCTCTGTAAAGGAAGAATGACATCACCTCTCCTTTGGTTCTGCACACAGGAGCAAAGAAAAAAAAAAGTATTGTGACCTGGAAAACCTTGTGTGAAATAATTCCCTAGGACTTGAGGCCGTTTGGAAGGGAAGGGATATATTGTTTTGACTTGATTAAAGCTGAAAAGTTGATTTGACATCCTGTTGTCAAGGAAACCAAGTCACACACAAAAGAAAACAGTTGTGATGGTATCATTCAGACTATTCAAGTGACCTTGGAGGAGTGCGGGGGGAGGGGGGGAGAATAAAGGCTTCTGTTCCAAAGTTCTGTATTCAACACACTTCACCACTGTGAAAATTCAGATCATTGCTCTTCATGTTTATTGGGAAATTGATTTCAATCTGAAAAGAGCAAAATGCCAGATCTTCTCCAAGGCCAACAGGTCAAACACCTTGATTCTGGTCATACATACACAGCTGCCACATAACATGTTACCTGTATTCCCAAGAACAGTAAGACTCAAATAGAAGGAGGAGTTTCATGCACTGGCTGGATCATAATAATACATATGGGTGTATACACACTAGGGATGTTAAATAATGGTTAATTGACTAATTTCCATGAACTACTCGATTAATTGATATGGGAGGGAGGGCACTCGCTACCACTGCTGTGGCTCTGCATTTTAAATGTAGTAAGTGCTGCCGGCTTTTACTACATTTAAAGTGTGGCACCCCAGAGGAGTTAGCTCCTGGGAGCGGTGCAAGCCAGGACTTAGCAGTCTTGGCTCATGCAGCTCCGGGTCCTCTGTAGCTCTGCCTCCCCTGCCTCCTCCCAGCGCCGCAGAGATGGTGCTGAGGGAAACCTGCTTGTAAGCTGACTCTTCCCAGAACCGGCTCCTGCTTTCCACCCTCCCCCCCACTTTACTGCCTCTGATACAGAGGCAGCAGGGGAGGGAAGTGAGTAGTCGAGTAGTCACTCGATTACCTGATAAGCCTACGTTTATTGGATAGTCGACTACTCGACTAGTCGCTTACATCCCTAATACATACACAGGCAGCCACCAGGGGCCTAAACATTTCCCTAAAACTACTAACTGAGCTTACATCAAGCCTGGTAACAGTTTCTTAAAGATTCCTTTTCCAGGGAGATATCAAGAGTAGAATTTATTCTTTGCCAACCTCCTGGATCCCTGACAAATCAGGTTTCTATCTAGGACACATGCCAGAAACTGTCTCCATGTTGAACAACCTTCACATGGCCTTGTACAGTGTGACCCTCCACTGTGGCACTTCAGAGCGGCACTTCAAAGGGGCAGTGCATTAGGAGCCTGGGATCAGCTGAAGTCCCCAGCTGACCCAAGGCTCCGTGCAGCGCTGCCCCTTTGAAGTGCTGCCCTGGTGTTTCCAAGGGGCAGTGCTGCACGGAGCCCGGGGTCAGCTGGGGATTGCAGCTGATCCCAGGCTCCTGCGGTGTTGCCCCTTTGAAACGCTGCCACAGCATTTCATAGGGGCAGTGCGCTCAATTAATTGTTATTAAATTTTTAAATTGCTTGACAGCCCTAAAAATAACCTTTTGGGACTATTGACGCTTTCTTTGTTTGTTGTTATAGCCATGTTGGTTCTGGAATATGAGGGAAATAAGGTGGATGAAGTAGTATCTTTCATTCAGCCACTTTTTACTGGTGAGAGAAACAAGCTTTAATGCTTTCTTCATAATTATTGCTCAGTATGTATATATCAAGGTAATAATAACATTTAAAATATCAAGACTAGGCAGAACCTGGAAGTCATTATTTCTACTTGGAATAGAAACAAATGGATGGCAAAATACAGTTCCAGCACCAGAGAACAATGCAAAACTCAAACTACTAATTTGAGATTTTTTTTAAAAGTGATATTATTGACTTTAGGGAAGTCACTGTTTATTCTTCCTGTTTAGTCCTTCCTCAACAGTAGTAAAGGGTTAAAGTACAGCTGGGGGACGGGAAAATGTGTGCAATTTTTATTTTTTATTTCCCTATATTTTAAAAATGAACATTTTGTACAAACATGGAGTGAGAGATTTTAACGGAAGTTTACAATATTTCTCAAATGTGTTTGTTTTTCCTTAAATTTAATTTTGGGGAACATTTCATTGTTACACAGTGAAAACTCAAAATTACTTAGGCAATGGGCATGTAAACCAATGCAACATCAGTTCTATGTTCACATAAAAGAAGAGATATATTTTTCTTTGTGCAGCTGCTACCAATACCTTTATTGTACTAGGCTGGTAGCTTTGTAAAGGCCTGAGAAAGAGAAAATTCTGCCTAGAACTCAGTCTGGGTATGTCTACTCTGCATCCCTCCGTAGGCAGAGGGATGCAGATTAGGCAGGTCGACATTGCAAATGAGGCAGGCATTTAAATATCCCGTGCCTAATTTGCATAAAAATGGCTACCACGTTTTGCCGACTCAGCACTTTGTTGGCAAAAAGTGGCAGTCTAGAGGGAGATCTGTCAAGAAAGAAAGCCTGTTTCGACAGATCCTGTAAACGTCCTTGCCTGAGGCATAAGGGATCTGTTGAAAAAGGCTTTCTTTCTTGACAGATCCCCCTCTAGACTGCCGCTTTTTGCCGACAAATTGCTGAGTCGGCAAAACACAGAGGCCATTTTAATGCAAATTAGGCTATTAGGATATTTAAATCCCTGCCTCATTTGCAATGTTGACCTGCCTAATCTGCATCCCTCTGCCAACAGAAGGATGCAGTCTAGACATACCCCCTGTATTCATTGTTTATATGGAGACACTCAAGAAATGGAAGGAGAATCAACTCGGGTAACAATGCACATCAGTGTGTTAACCCCAATCTGGATGCTCTTATTCATGAGTAAAGTTTAGTTTATTGTAGCTAAGTTGCAAACCAAAAAGAAAACAACAGCAACAACAAATAGAATAGAGGAACAGTATTGCTGACTTACCCAGAAACAGGTCCATAGTCCTTGATCAGTTTTGTATGGTTTTCCCAAAAGCCCTGATTAAAGAGAGAGTGTTATCAACTGCATATGGCATTATAAGGACATTTGATATCCTAGAATGTAGGATTGCTAACACTTGTGATATCTGGTGTGTGTTTTTTTTTCTAAAATCCCAGTTTCTGGAGTAATGTTACTATGAGAGAAACTCAGCTTTCATTAAAAATAAAGATCCTCCAGATTACAGAAAGATAATTGAAAATGTGATTCCCTAAAGGCTCAAAATGCAAATACCAAAGACATTTTTTTTAAATTAAGTTAACTTTATGATTTTGGGGCCTGACTTATTATCTTTGTTATGTTTGGAGTTGGAAATGCAGAAAATGGACAAGCTAATACAGAATAGGAATATAACGTATCTAGTGCACCCAAGAGAAATAAATGAACCATGAAAAAAGTGAAGAAAACCATCAGTAAAACATCATCTCACAAATAAAAAAAAATCCTGCTTGGTTTGCCTTTAATGCTAAGAAATCACTTGGGATAAACAGAAAAATTAAACAGCTTTATTTTGACAGACTTTTTTGAATTTTTACTATTTGTGTTTCACTCTCATAATTGAAGAAAATTGGTATCCATTTAGATAAAGAAATTTGTCACTATATTAAATTGTTACCATGCTCTCTCTCTCTCTCTCTCTCTCTCTCTCTCTCTATATATATATATATATATATACACACACACACACACACACACACACAATTTGACTAGCAGGAGGGGAGGTATATAAAGTGTATCCCCGAAAGTGAATAAACAAACATCCTTCCCTTGATTATGACAAAATTATAATATTCTGAAAATCATATGGTATTATATTTATCACTTGGAAAGGGAAAATAACTGCAGTATGACCTTGCTAATCTGCATTTCTATAATCCACGAGTTATCTCTATTCTGAGCAAAGATTCACTAGCAAAATGGTGCAATGAGGACTTAAATTAAGACTTTATTATTTTACAATACACTATAGAATATCAATATGAAATATTATAAATAATTACAATTAAACCATAGTCAGCATAAATTCATGAAGCACACTGTAATGCAGTATCTATGCTTTCATCGTTGTTGCTTTTTTGCACTGAATAATTCAAAAAATCTGACAGCAAGGGATCTTCCATTTAACAGAAAAAAAAAATGACTAGTCTTCTATTATAGATAACTAGTTGGCTGCACCCCCAGCTCGCCACGCTCGCCAACCCCCTTCTCATGGGGGGTAAGCAATTCCAGCTCTCCCCCCGACTACCAGGGAGGGTAGGGCTGTGGCTGTGCCAGCCCAGCTCCCTTCTCCTACCCCTCCTACCTGTCGCACCAGCCCAGACCCCCCCTTCTCCGTCCTCCCTCCCTCCCTCCCTGGCCCCTTCTCCTTCCCCCCACCTCCCCCATCCAGGGCCCCTTTTCCCCCCCTCCACCATCCAGGGCTTCTTTTCCCTTCCCCTTCCCCCTGCCTTCCACACCTTCCCAGGCTCCTTCTCCCTCCTGCCTCACCCCCCACCATGGCTTAACCCTAACCCCATGGCTGGGGGCAGGCCAGGCTGTAGTGCGAGCCAGGCTCAGTTCCAACCCAATGGCTGGGGGCAGGCCAGGCTGTGGTATGAGCCAGGCCTGGCTCCAACCCCCACGGGTGGGGACTGACCGCGATGTAAACCAGGCCCAGCTCTCCACGTGGCTGCTGTAGCAGGCCAGGCCCAAGCTGTACTGGGCCTGGTTCTCCCCCAGCCTCTGTGAAGAGGAGGGGAGGTTTGGGGCTGTAGGCAGCCCCAGCCCTGCACATGGGTCCTGAGAAGGGCTACATTGGGGGGGGGGGGTAACTTGTTCCTGTGGGATGCAGAGTGACATGATGACGTCACTCTTGTCCCACAGGAAAAGCTTTTTTTATATAGAGAGCAATATTAAATAAAAAAAAAATTCTAATAAGGGATTGTTTAGGGTTTTTTAATTCTTACAGTGAATCTACTACTTAACTTTTTTTAAATTGCTGGATTTTTAACGTTTGATTTGTTCCATGAAACTCAGTTATTACCAATTTGGCGATCATGTGTTTGCTTGTCTTCTAGTTATATATAACAGAAAGAGTATAAATATCAGAGAGTATAATGGCTTTAGATTTTAGAAGACATAATGAGGAGAAGAGATGAAATTTTAAAAGGGACAATTTAGGCTGAATGTCAGGAAAATCTTTGAGACACAAGATAAGTGAGGCAATATCTTTTATTGGACCAACTTCTGTTGGTGAGAGACAAGCTTTCAAGTCACTCAGAGCTCTTCAAGTCTGGGAAAGGAACTTCCATCCTCACAGCAAAATGCAAGGTGGAAGAGACTGTTAGTGAGCACAAGTATTTAACACATGTTGTAAGAGACCCACTCAAGGTAGAATGGCTTGAAATCTCATCTTTCTCATCACCAACAGAAGTTTGTCCAATAGCAGGCCCGGACAGAGGAATTTCTGTGGGAGGGTGCGAGCCATGTGAGGTGCCGGTGACTGCACTGCCCCCTGCCACAGCGATCCAGCTCCACCCCCAGTCTTGCTGGGGGTGGGGGCCCAATCAGCCCCAGCCTTTCCTCAGCCACCCAGAGCACAGGGGAGGGAAGCTGGGGCAACGCACCGTCTTAGCCTCATGCTTACTTGGAGGACCATGGGGGGGAGCACATTTGCACTTTTCATACCCCCATCCCACCCCATGTACAGGCTTGAATAAAAGCTACTGCCTCACCCTGTCTCTCTAATCTCCTGGGACCAACATAACTCCAACTACACTGCACAGAACAGTTGAAGGTATAGCAAAGTCTGACAGAAACAGTTCTATTCTCCTGTCAACTAGCACAGATTCAGCTTTTATTGGCAGGGCTCCAATGAATACAAAAGCTCATGTCCCCTGGCATAACTCCCAACAAAGGGGTGTGGTGGAAACATTACCTTGTCCTTTCCCTTAGGTGAACCCTGGCTGGAGTGCAGCAAGCCGGGCAGGTGAAGGGGGATACATTTGCAACTTCTTTGCACCCACTGAGGTGAATGTGGCCCTACGTGGTATTATGATAAGGCTGCCCAGGATTATAACTGCAATAATAGTTGGCACGGATAGAGTGATTGAGTATCTACCGACCACTGAGCAGCTGTTTTACAGACAACGAAACTGAGGCAGGGAGCTTTAATTGACTTGCCAAATGCCACATACTGGATCAGTGGCAGAACAAAGATTAGAATTTAGGAGCTCTACCTCCTAGTCATGTACTCAGTGAATTACTTACCACTACAGCATGATGGGGGAGGGGGGGAAGGTGGGGGAGAGGCAGAATGGAGGAAGTGAAAAACTGTAGTTTTTCAGGAATCAGAAGGAAAATGTAGCACAGACTATGCCATTTTAAATTAAACTTAAGTGCATGAGCAGCAACCTTGAAGTTACCACTTTAAATAGTCTGTCACAATATCTAATTGTAAAGAAGTGGGCAGCTATGCTGTTCCAAGTTAGAAAAATCACTTGTCTTTTCTGCTTTTCTGAAAGGCTACAAGAACGTGACTGATCACAAACACCACCTCGGGGGAAAAAGGTTTTTAAATTGCACTTGCCCCTCACAATTAGTTTCCATCCTACTGATGGGCCATTATCAAAGAGATAACACATGCATGCAATCTGAAAGATTCCTTTCCTGAGCAAGACATACTTAGCAGCAACTGGTACACCATGGAAACAGCAGTTGAAGTGGTTTAACTGCCTGACACCCAGAAAGCTGCTTCTTTACACAGCTTGTGCCAGCTTCCCCACAGGATGTTTGCATTCTCCCCTTTCTTTGACTGTAATTTATCAAATGTGTCTGTGCAAAAAACAACTTAGAGGGCCAAATTCTGCTGTCAGATACACAGGTAGAACTGCTGCAGGAACTGGGAATTCCAGATGTGTTAGGGAGAGTAAAATTTGGCCACTAGAAACTACCTTAATCTATTTCATGTTGAGATTTATTTCAGACTGCAGCACATAAATCAGGGAAATCAGAAAAGACACTGTGGATTCAAATCTCTGTTTTTAAAAGTGGATTCTCCCCAAGAAGTATCTCCCAGGGTTTCCTTAACACCACTACATTCACAATGTTAGCACTCCAGACTCTCAAAAGACCTGTGTTGCAGAGACCTTCTCTCCAGGGCGAGGATGGAGGCAGCTCTGCCTGGAGTTACTGTACCCAATGGTTTTAAAAATGACCACTTGTTTTGTCTCTCTCAATTATTGGATGCCAAGCACAAGACATTATAAACCTGTTCTTCTGAGGTGTCAAGCACCTGCAGTTCTCACACACTTTCGGTGGAGTCCCGAGGACTCAGCACGCATAAAAAATCAAGTTTACTCACGCCGATCACCAGAAAAAAAACGGAGGCATCCAAATTCTCTGGCCACTTTGGAAAATGTTTGTGCCCTGCAATTTGACAATAGATCATATGACTTGTGAAATTAACTAGGGTCTTTGTTGGGATCACAAAGGGCAGAGTAACATGGTTTTAAAAGGAGCACATGTACTGAGATATAGCACATACCTGTCATTGGCCACAACTCAAGAATTTAGACACCAAAATTTTCCAGGAAAAGCTTCTTCTAGAACAGGGGATTTAAATGGCAACACAAAGGATATTGGACCATGTGGTAATGGAGAAGATATGTCATTCAAGCACCACTAAATGAACAGCATTTTCTAATTTAAGAACAACAGAGAACAGATTTATTTTATTACATGTTTATGAAATGTATCAGATTGACAGGACTGGAGACAGCATTCCCTTCATCACAGAACACATGACTCATGAGCAACAGCAGTGCAAGTTTCCTTGCATTGCCCTGTAAAAATGTCTCAACTCTGGCCTGAAATGGGCATCTCTGAGGTTTCATGCCCATTCAAATCTTGGCTCGAGAATACCAGTTGTGGTGTTATCTGATGCCAACACCTGTTCATGAGGGACTGGACAGACACCAAGTCTCTTCACCTAGGCCTCAGAAAGGTCACTACACCAAGA